TGCATTGTTTTACTTACTTGTTTTTGACATATCCGACCAAACTACAAACTTTCCAGTGATGTCTGTGAGAAAGGTATATTCACTCGACAAGCTCGCGCATCTGCGCCGCCGCGCAGTCAATCCACTCAACGTGCTTTGCTTATCAGCTCGCGCACATCAGCTATACAGTCAATACTGAATGTTTAACATTATATTCATTGCATACATATACTTCGTAGACATCCTTAATCTCTAATAACTCCATTCTGCTGTCTGTTGTTCTGTTGTCGGTGTTTCATTGTCTGAATATGGCACTTAACACATGCTGTGTGGTATCGGCTTTTGGTATCGGGGCATTTTAACGAGTACGAGTACAGGAGCTCAGTATCGGGCCCGATCCGATATCCCTAATTATCAGCATATTAGAATGATTTCTTAAGAATCATGTGACACTGAAGACTGGAGTAATGATGCTGAAAATTCAGCTTTGCATCACAGGAATAAGTTACATTTTAAAATTTACAGTAAAATTTAAGCTACATTTTATGATATAAAATATAAAAAACTGTTACACAATGAAAATTGTAGATACCGAAAAATTCCACCTAAGTAAAAATGCAATAATTTTACCCACTAATTTACCCAATCTTTGCATGCATTCGTGCTTTACTGTAACTGACCTGGTCAATAGAGATGTGTGTTGGCAGCACTTCTGGGTATTCCTGTGTCACACATTCATACAGAATTGCTGACAGTAATGCCACGGTCTCCTGCTTCTGTAGAAACAAGACAGAAAAACATGTGAAAAATACAGCAACACCAACTTTCGAGTTATTTACTATATACTTACGAGTTATTAGTTATTTATTTACGAGTTATAACTTAATTTCTAAGAACTGCATCTGTGTCATCAAGACACTACAAAAAATTATGTTGATTCATCACTCAGTTTGAAATAGAAATAAATGTTTATGGTAATGGGAAGCGTAGCAGGAAAGTGGGTCATACTGACTCCTATGTTTACTGTATTCGTTTTGTATTTATAGCTACCGTGACACATTTTCTGGTTAAACGTTTTGCACCGAGGCTCGAGGCATCACTTTATTGAATTTGCTCTTCTATCATGTAGGAAAGAAATGACAATAAACATGCTTTGATGTGTTAAGGTTACACTTTTGAAACTGAGAGTTTTTTTCTGTGGTACGCCCGCTCTCCTGCTGAGCTTCCATTATAAGAGTATTTACTATAAACACATTTCCCGTTTGTTTATATGCAAAAGGAGGCAATTTGCATTACCGTATGTTGTATTTGGCAACATACTAAAGGACTTAAAGAAATGTTCACGGGTTTAAGCATTTCTGACATGCTTTCGATTTATTACAAGTTAATCCTTCTGTACAAAAAGTGTTTTATTAAAGATGCAAGTTATCTAAATCATTCGTTTATTCTCTCTATCATTGCACGTATCATTACCAGTTTACCAATTTTACATGGTTGTGACATGACAAATGACTTTACTGGTCTCATATTAATTCATTTTATTTTCATATTTCAACGTATCCCGTCACATTACTCAGGGATGCAAACTATTATCAGGGGTAATAAACAAAGATGTGACCCTCCTAGGAGAAAGAAAGTACGTTTTAAAAAAATTTGTTTTAAAACGAGGATTTACAGTGGAATTCAGCATGTGGATACTATTAAATATGGCTATATATTAATAATAATAAAAATAAAGATTATTCTTCCAATGTTTTTCTTTTCCTAAAAATTAGAAAGTGTAAATTTAAAATTAAATCAAAGAAATATTACTACAGCAATACTACCATTTTACTGTAAAATAAAAAAAATTAGTATTTAATGATACTACAACAGTACTGTAATAATTATATTATATTTTATGCATGCTTTATAATTAAATTGCAAAACTTAAACTAATAAAGAAATATATTACAGTTATAATACTATTGAACTAAAATATTATTGAAAATATAAAACTGAACAAAAATGGAAAAATAATCAAAATAGATTATTATTGTAACAATATTATTGTACTGTAACAAAAGAATAGACTATGTAATAATGATACTACTACTATTAAAGGGGTCATATGATGCGATTTCAATTTTTCCTTTCTCTTTGGAGTGTTACAAGCTCTTGGTGCA